CCCCCCCATCCTGGGGTACCAAGAACAGAGGTCCTAGGTATGAATCCAGCCTTGCAGTGGACAGTTTTCCGTAGCAATCTCAGTGAACAAGCAGGGAAGAGCTCAGTCCTAACTAGAGTGGCCTATTTACCTGGAGCTGAGAAAAAACACACTGGACCATATTTACAACCCCCATCACCCATACCTGGTGGATTCCTAAATTAGAATCCTTAAAAGAAGCAACTTCATTTTAATCTTCTTAGAAAGGAGGAATCTTAGACTTTTTGATGTATTTGTTAGATTTTGATTTTGTTTTTATTATATGTTGTTTTGTTTTCCATGATGTGTGTGTTTGTGCTTTATCTCATTTTGTGTTTTTTTAATTCTTTAATTGGATGTTTATATATAGATATATCTTCTTTCTCATTTTTATTCCTTTCTCTTTTTTCTTTCCCTTGTCATATTCTGTCTCTCCCCCTGCCCCATTTTTATATTTTAGTATTAATATCACTTTCATTGGTCTTTAATTTTTTTAGCCAATTCTATATTAATCGTCCCCCTTTCTTCTCTTTGGTTAGTGAGAAAAACTGAAAGCATTCCCTGTAGAATCAGAGAGGAGAAAAGGTCGTTCATCCTTACCACTCCTACTCACTATGGTATTTGAAATTTTAACCAGATCAGTTAGGCAAGAGGGAGAGATAAAAGGGGTATGAGTCAGAAAGGAAGAAGTCAAATTAGCCCTGTTGGCAGAGGACAAGATCCTATACTAGAAGACCCTAAAAATTTCGCAGGAAGACACTGAGATCTAATGGACAAGTTCAGCAAAGTAGCAGGAAACAAAATCAACACAAAAATCAATCATTTTTCTAGACACTAACAGTGAGCCCACTGAGAAAGAAATTAGGAAAACAATTTCATTTACTATAGGTTTAAAATTTCCTAGGAATAAAAATAACCAAAGAGATAAAAAATAAAATCAAAATTAAAAAAAACAATAAAAAACATAGAGCACTGAAAAAAGAAATTAAAAAGACACCAGAGGAGGGAAAGACCTTCTATGCTCATAGATTGGCAGAATTAATATAGTGAAAATGGCCATATCTCTATAGAGTGATCTATGGATTTAATCATTCTCCATCAAACTACCAATGACATTCTGTCGCGACCCCTTGCCC